AACTAACTAAAATGGGATTTTACATCCCAGTCAGGTCTACTCAGGTTTTACAGAAAGTTGGGGAGAAACGTAGCCAGGACAGTACAAACATCTAAACATAGCTCCACTCTGAAAAGTGACTCAAACTGTTCCAGCGAGGTTCCCTGTTTTGTCCCCAAAAGACAGTTTTTTCTAAATGCCAATCTGCCAGATCCCCCTGTGATTTCAGTCATGTTGGGTTCTTTCCTTCTCACTCATCAGCAGCAAAACCTTGCTTTCAGTGACACCAGTGCAACTCCACACTCTTAGGCTAGGTCTACACTATAGCCTTTTTTTGGAAAAAGCTATGCAAATGGCAAATTGCCATTGTCTAGATGGGGCCAAATGGTGGAAAAGCCTCCTCTTTCGGAGGAGCCCTTATTCCTTGTAGAACAAGGTATACAGGGCTACCTGGCGCTTCTGCCCCCCCCCCCCTTTTTTTTGGAAGAGCAAACGTGTTTCCTGGACATGGCAGAGTTCTTCTGGGATATCAGAGGTATCCTGGAAAAACCCCAGTCTAGATGTACCCTTAGTGAGTTAACAGGTGTAATTTGGCTTTGCAACTGAAACATGAGCCAGATTTTCAAGCACTTAACTTGAGCGCTTTTGAAAATCTGGTCCTCTATTAACAGTTCAGTTAGTGATGAAGGAGCCAGATAAGACTCTAGTTCCCTCTCCCAGTGCTGCATCAACTGGGCAGGAATAACAGAAGTAAATAAAGTTTTCTGCCTCCACCAGCTGAGAAAGCAGCTCCAGAACCCAGCATGCACAAGAGGGACAATTCTGCTGAATAAGGTGGTGTCTTATCACCCCCTCTTCTCCCACATCCCACTTCTCTGATGACAGCCACATGTCCAATCCCAAAGAAACACAGTTCTGGGCATAGATCCAAACAGCCCCCCTTCTGCAGTAGCAGTAACCCACACATTCCAGATCTGGTGCATTAGCACGAGGCTGCAAAGTGAATGGGACACAGGGCTCAACCCCACGAAAGCTCACTCTAAGCAGTGCCTCACATCTATTATACCAAGGGTGGGGAGCCTCGGGGCTGGATGCAGCCCCTAGCTTACCTGGATCTGGTCCTTGAGGCTCAGCATTGGGGATCCTACACTGGTGCTCTCACCACCAAGCCAGCTACCCACAGGGCTGGAGCACCAAAATCTACTAGCCTGGGCCTCCCATGCTAGTCAAGCATCTTCCTCCTTCTCAGTCAGGGGCTTCTCACTGTGTTTCTCACTTGTGTGCAGCCCCTGGCTAATTTTTCTGTGGGTCAGCAGCCCCCGACCCAAGAAAGATTCCCACCCTGTACTATACATTTGAGAGAGTTTGTCTGTCCATTTGTTCAAGAACTGCTCCTAAACAGTAAGAGCTAGGACCGCCAAATTCAGCACACAGTATTCTCTTGTCAGAAGTGGCATAGGTTTGGTTGCAACAGGAAAATGGGATGTGCCTGCAATGAGATTGTTTCTCATAAAACCAAACAGAAAAGAGAATCACCAAGCAGGTGAAAGTGGCTGGCTAGGGGTGCTTCAGGAATGCCCCAGCCCTGAGCTTGCCACCACCCGGGCACCCTTTAAGGAGGGTGGGGCAAGTTGAAGCTCCCCACCTCCATTTGTACAGCGCATTGCTGGCTGTTCCCCTTCGTCAGGGAGCAAGGGCAAAGTGCACTGTTTGCTACATTCCTCTCTGGGTGGGGAGCACAGGGGGCAAATGAACCTGGGCCATGGACATGCACTCCTCCCCTGGCTGTGCCTGCTGGCACCGCAGTGGCTGGAGAGGTGCTTCTCACCTGGCCCTCAGTGATTCCGTGAGAGGGCTGGGATAGTTCTCTTCCTCCGGGGCAGCCTGCCTACTGAACCCCTGAGCCTCACCCCAGAGTAAGGATTTAAATGAAGAAAAACAAAACTTATTCGTGTTAAGGACCTGAGCAACACTGGGTAAATCTAGTATAAAAAACAAGCCAAACATCTCTGTGCTTTAGTGACCCCAAGGGTTGTTACCCAGATCACTTAGCAATCACCCTTTTTTACTACAGTATAACCCGCCCAGCTGACAGGAGCCTGGACCATTCCCTACCTGCTTTCCTTCAAGAGCTCTCACCCAAAGATCCCATCCACTACAGAGCAGCACAGGACAGTAGGAACCACATACAGCATAGCAAAGCAAACAGTGAACACAATCTCCTCTACGTCACGCCCCCCAAAGCAGTGTTCTTATCACCAGTGTTGTCCAGAGATTTCATATGCTCCTGAAATAGTCTCAATGTCAGGGATTCCTAGGACAAATCATACTGAGATACTACTACCCAGATGCTCACTGGTATTTAGACAGCTAACTCCCACTGAAATAGAAGGAAATTTAAGCTCCTAAATACCTCTCAGGATCTGGGCTTATGACTATGTAGCTGCCTTTCTGACCACCATGAAGATAGGAGGATGCAGGTAATACTCCCTGTGACCACCCATGCAGAAGGAAGTCCAGGGTAACAACATCCATTCCTTACTCACCCTGTGGCCAGAGGAGTGTGCTCTGTGTATGCATTGTAGCTGAAAGGCAACACACACAACCCTTGGTGTCAGGAACTCAAATATGTGGTTTCCCACTGAAAGATCAGCCACCTCCTCTGCAACAGTGTCCTACCTGATGAGGCAGAATCCCCGCTGGCCCTGGGAAGCGGCGAGTTTTCACCCGTGAAGGGGTCCAGCCAGCAGCCTTGGGAGTCTTGTTGGCCGCCGTGACCAGCTGCACAAGGTGATTGGTAACCACGGGGGTCTGCAGGGTCGCAGCAGCAGAATAGGGAGCCCTCGAGGAGGTGGAAGTCGGTGACTCCATACAAGTCATCAAGGACCGTGGTCCTGTGGGGAGCCTAAGAGGTGGTTGCCATCTGCTGTTGGGCCCGGTGGGTGTGGAACCACCCTGACTGGGCATCTGTGGGGCTGGTGGCCTTGGTTTGCCACTCCGTGGGGAGATGAGAGTTGGAGCCTTTACTGGAGTCACAGAAGGGCTGCCTGCTTCGGTTCCAGACTGACCCCAAGCTGCTAGAAAAGGCCTTGGAGTGTGGCACCTAGGAGTGGAGATGGTGCCACAAGACACACCTGCAGGGCTGCCCTGTGGCACTGCATTCACCAAGGAACTACCTGGAGCCACTAGGCTAAACTGAGATGAGCAAGAACCTGCTGTGCTTGGCCTCAGCTTTAGTTTCAGAGCAGGGTCTGTCTGCTGGAATGGGGATGGAGTTTGTGTCCTGTCTGTCCCTGTCGAGATGGCCCGACTCCCCTCCTGCTGAGGAGAGACTGAGCCACCAGGGCTAGGAGTCACCATTGGATCTCCCATCCGAAGCTTTTTGAATGCTGTCTGACCACAGCTGTTTTCCTCCCTCCTGCACACCTGCACACTGAACTTCTCAGCCAGAGCAGGCCGGTTTGAAGTGTGGAGGCCTGGCGCTGCCAACGTAGGGGTCATCTGGTTCTTTAAAGTCCTGAAGCCCACAGCTGGAGGATCCACAATCCGATTGTTCACCCCCGTGAGAGGCCTCAGGCCAGGTGTCGTGCTGGAAGAGCAATCAGCCCCCATTTTCAGCTTGGGAAGGTTCTGCAGCCCAAAGACTGGGGACAGCATGTCGGTACTGGAAAGAGCGGGTAATTGGGACACGTCAGTTGGTGCGAGGGGGTTGCTTGGGTCTCTGGGCCCGGAGGAAGAGGGCCTCAAGCATCCTGAGTTCATAGGGACCGAATCCGAAAACTGGTTCTCTGCATCTTCCACAGCCAATAGGAAATCCTGCAAAAGCAGACAAGGCACCACAATCATCAAGCTTTCTTTACATGAAATGCTCAGGTGATTCAACTAACCTGGCCTTTAATTTAAGAAGCCAGTACAGCTATAAAGGCCCCAAGATAAGAGACTAGCAATTGCCAGCCCTGAACTAGGACCATAAAGCACAGACAGTGAAAGTCTCACACAGGGTGGATACAATGACAATTATTGGGTCCATAATTTACACTCCTGTTCTCTCTTGCTATATCTAACTACTTACATGATTTGAGAGCTGGGAGATGTTTTGTCAGCATGTCCTTGGATAAGTGGTGGTATTATTAGCAGCCAGAAGTTTCATTTACTTATTTGTCAATCAAAGGAGAATCACAGAATCTACATAGCCCCATACTTCAGTTCAGTGAGGGGACATTGTCCCACCTACTCTACACTTTGCAGGTGAGTCTCTTGTGTAAACAGAGATTAAGCTGAAGTAGGAGACAAGACTTTTTGGGCCCAGTTCTCAGCTGCTGTAAATGGCTATGCCTCCCTTGAGGAGTCAGCCTAGGGACACATTAGCAGCCTCCTGCTCCACCCTCACTGGCTAGCTCTCACCTGGCCCACCACAGTCCACAGCCTTTTCCTTACCTCGTCTTCAAGCTCCGCTTCCACAGCAAACAGCTTCTGCAGCCCGCAAGCCTGGGACAGAACAAGAGAGACATCAGCTTTGTTTGCAAGTACATCTCAGCCGGCAGCCCCTCCTTCCCCATCTCTCACAACACCTGAATTGCCAGGTTGCTTTGCTCTTCTGGGCCTTTGACTTTGGGGTTTAAACACAACCAGACCGGTGGCAGACCACAGACGCAGACATTCAGGTTTGCCAGGCAGGGCTTCGTCTCTTCCCCACCCATGGCTGGGGCCAATTTCCAGGCAAATGAAGGACCAGCAGGACTCGCCAGGTACAATTATGCACCTTGGGAGATACCAGCGGCTCATAGTCCTGCCAGGTCAAACCTGACCTGCAACACAGGAACAAAGCAGGGCCTTTGGGGGGGGGCATAGCTCCCCAAAGGAACCAGCTGCTCCCCCCAGGGCCTGCCCCTCGGGGGG